TTTTTTTTTTTGTGAGATGAACTTTTCCTTTTTCTTTTGCTTTTTTCAAACGAGCGAGCAAGCAAGCAGGGCAGCAACCGAGTCCCGTCCGCGACGGCAGCCATCAAAAAGGTGTCAAAGGGTTTGAAAGCGTCGCCAACCTTGCCGCGGCCCCTCCGTCGCTTTCGGCTTCATCTCGACCAAAGAGTAAGCAGAGCACGCCTCGTGCACGGTTAAACTTTGATGTCCATATCAGACTGGGCCGCCTCTACCGCCTCGACCCTGGGCTTGGGATTGGGCTTGGTGATCGTCGGCGCATCCGCAACCCCACCCGTCGATTCATTCAGCTCGAGATGAAGGTCGAGCGCCGACTCGCATGCATGCCATTGTGGCTCGAATGGGCGAGGGGCACGAGCGGCCCACTTGACCGACGACGCCTTCATTATTCAAGAGGTAGAAGCGCATGCGTCAGCTTTGGCATTTTGTGAAAGTGCCGCCTTGTTTGCTCAGCTTGCTCTGCTATGCCATGGTGATTTGATTCATCCTCGAGCTCGTCCGAGGTGCGACCGATGGTGCAGCTGCGGACATTCACCTCTCTCGCCTTCCTAATGCCTGACAAGTTCGGCTTGATTCGGTCGCGAGAATTTGTGGGGTTGCGACGAGCGGCCAAAGCGACGCGTGTGGTGGCGTGCCCCAGCAAGCCCCACCCCGACCGCGTGAAAGCCAAGGGCGGCATTTTTCTTTTTCTTTTTCCTTTTGTCTTCAATTGGCTCTGGGCGAGATATCCGACGCTAAAGTTGCTTGGGCAAGGAGGCAGCTCGCGAGCGCCCTCGCTCTTCCGCGGTGTAGAGCGGAGCGTGAAATTGACCATTCAATCCACTCGAATCCACTCGGATGGCAGCGGCGTCTGGCCGTGCCGAAGCTGCGTTTTTGGTCCAAGGGTCCTCCCTGACACTCTGCTTGGAGCGCCGCCTCAAATGAACCAGCTTGCCATCACGCGAACGTCGCGCATTTTTGGAGCCTCGGACCGTGGGAGTCGTCGGCTTGCAATCCACCTTTCCGTTGTGCGGCAGCTGACGTGCAGCTTTCATCCCAGGTTGGTGGTTGGAGTTCTTTCGGCTGGCAAGCTCGTTGTGGAAAGCTCGTGTTCACAACACCTCGGCGCAGGATGACGACATTTGCACCCGGGCCTCGCGCGCCACTCTCCATGTCGATCCTCCGGCGAGATTTGGAGCCGGTTTAGGTGTGCACAAGAACATGACGCTAAGCCGATTCGACATGGTCTGGACCCTGAACGTTGTGAAAAGTTGCTGCTTATCGTGCCTGTCCGCATCCGAACGAGCAATTTGGTGGTGGGTTTCAGACACGAACACCACGCGCAGGCCTCCTCGTGAAAGAAGCAGCCCCGATGGAGGATGGATCGAATAGGGACAATCGGCGCAAGCTGGCCCGATGCCGAGCAGCGCCGTTACAGACACAATGGTCCATTGACAGGTGTCGTCATACGAATGGCGTGGAGCGCCACCGGGCTATGGATGGGCATTCATCGCAAGTGGCGCAAAGAGACTTTTGCTTGTGGAGCTCCACAGTTGCGTCCCATCGGTCAATTCCACCCTGCCCAACCCTCGCGTCAGTCTAACCCGTTCGCAGCAGCCTCGTGTTGGGGGTACAACGAGGACGGATCTTTGCTTCCGTTCCGGCGCAACTGGTTCGGGGTGAGAGCAAAAGCGTCTCGCGAGCTTAGGCGAGGCGAAGCTGTGCAGCCCAATTTCTCACGCCCTGCCGTCTAGGCGAAGCTTCGCTTAGCAGTCGACCACCTTTCCCCCGCTCCGCCTTCGGCCAACAAGATCCAACCCGCAGCTTGCGTCATGTTGTGCCCCGCCCAGCCCATGCCGAATGCTCGGCCTTCAATAGTGCTTGGCAGACCCGCGTCGACAGCGACATTGCCGCCACCGCCGCCCCCTGCATGCCCCACACGATGATCTTCTCTTCCCAACCGAAATAGGAGGAAGGCATCCTTCAACAGCTCGTCGGCGACTCAAATAGAAAGGCGTACATGAATGCAGCTCACAAGGGACTCGATATCTGCGGCCATAGAACCTTGAAAGCACCGCATCCCGTCCGATCTGCGAAGTTAAGCAAGGTATCGCCTAGTCAGTACTGCGGTGGGGGACC